TTTATTGTGTAAAGCTGCTGTAATTATAATAAATATTTATTATGTCTTTTGTATTCCTCAATTTTGTGTGAGTTGTGAGTTCAGAATGTTTCTTGGAAAGTTGACTTCATTTTATGGTTTGACTATGAATCTCTTGAGCAAGAGACTAGAATCAAAAGATGTGATCCTAATTCATTCCTGTTTTTAGTCATAGTCCTAGGAGTGCTTTGAGGCCTGGACTGGCTGGCTGGTGTGTACTTCTGCTTAGAGCTTTGGCTCATAACTGACTTAATGGCTTTACATTGGACATACGTGCATGAGTGAGTTACTCCAAAATTCCTGCGTGCAGGAATGTCTATACTCTAGGTTTAAATGATGGAAAGAAATAGAGTTGCAATTCGTAAGAAAGAAGTTGTCCCAAGGCTGTGCAACAAATTGCAAATTACGCCTTTTTTGAACCTTGCTAAAAGATTTACATAACAAATTCGTACTCAGTCTCTGGCAATTCCCCAAGAGAGATTATTTCAGGATGTTTATATTGCAGTCTTCCAAACAGAAAGTTTACTTTTTTTGAATGTTATTCAATTTCTTGCTTAAATGTGAAGACTGATGAGAAGGAAGACTTAAAAAACTGATTTTTGAGAAGCCATATTAAGACATGGGCAAGTGGAAATCATACTAGTTAGGATTTTTAAAGGTATCTACAATTTTCGTTCCAGTAAAAAGTTAGACCTTATGAAAACAGGTTGGAAGATGTCTGAAACTTCTGTCTTCTTCAGTTGTGATACAGAAAACTCCTTTTCAAAGCTGGTATGTAGTACATGACAGTGTTAAAGTGCTGCACGTTCAGAAAGACTTGAAAGCTGTGACAGACTGCTGCGTTAAATTGTGGTAGTCAGTGTGCTGACACTGGAATATGGCATTTCCATATGTAATCAGGTGTTCCTTTGTAAAGGCAAAGTAAGATAAACCTTAGTTAAATTGTGGTGGTTTTTTTACTTTGGTTAATTGTATTGAGATTCAAGAGAAACAGGGATTTTAACATCCAGTGGGGTGTTAGATGTTGAACACTTGACTGAAGGGGTTATGGTGAAAAACTGATGAAGAGGCTATTATTTTACTGTTCATTTTGTTGTTGCATTAGGGAAGTCATAGGTAGCAATTGAATACATTCTTTATAAGCCATCATTTAGCAGAAACATGCCTCTAAGACCATAATTATGATACTTTTTTGTGGCTTACAAAGTCTGGTTATGTTTGAGTACATTTAGTATTAGACCAGTTAAAGAATTTTAAAACAGCCCTTTTTAGAGGCAAAATTACTAATTTCCACTGCTAGATTCAGTGCCTGCAGGGGCATCCTGTTACTGTGCCTAGGGCACAAATGGTTTTAGAAACATCAGAGCATGTTAAAGTTGTCTCTAACAAGGTAAAATTAGCTCTTAAATCCTGAAGCAATATTTGCCATGACTTGAGATTACTTAGTCTGTCTCTTAATGCCTTGCCCTTTTTAATTGAGATACATTTATGAGTGAATGGTAGATAATACTAAATTATCTAATGGTTTATTTGTGTTCTTTTCAAAAGGCAGATGATGCTCACTCCAGCGTAAATGTGATTACATCTCTATGTGTTTGATGTAGCATGTGTGTAGGAAAATTTTAGTGATGCCTTTAAGGCCTAAGCAGTTGCTCAAAGATTGATTTGTGCTTGATGATATTCTCTGGAGTCTGAAACAGTCTTCCTCAGATTTGAGGTGAGGGTTGGAGGGAACTACAAAAAATCAAAGCAAATTACTGTAAAGTTACTCTGTGTACTAAGTTACTGCAATAACCAATGTTGTGGAAATAATCCATTAATTGCTTACAGGAGTAGTTAATGAGCTATTATCTGCTGTCACAATACCTTCCATGATATTTGCACTTCTGATTTTTAAAAGTGTACTTTTTAATTTTTATTTTGTGTCAAGGAACAGCAGGAAAAAAATATTTCTGGCAGCTGCCCATTTTTGGGTTGCTAACTGCCCCGTTGTACATCACCAGAACAGCCAGCACTGTTGCAAGATCAGGTTTCCATGTCATGTATGTTTAGGACTGATGTCAGGTATTCCCTACAGAGACCCTTTGACAGTGGTGGCAAAAACAGGTTTGAAACAGGTGAGTGGTTTCAGGTCTGCTCGAAGCTGATCTGGAAGGAAAATAAGGTTGACATTTGTCATCTCTGCTGCTCTGTTTATAGAGGCTATGCTTTGCCAGATGGATGAGTGCATTCCCCCCAGGCTTTCTCCGGGACCTTTGATAACATCAGAAGTGAAATTCATGAAACTGCAGGGATTTGCACTAAAACTAGGCTATATGTAGCCTGTCTTATTTTTCTGAAATCAAGCTTCCAAGCAAGGCAGTACATATCTTTCACAGGGCTTTTTCTTTCTACAGAATCTATTAATGTATGATTAAATGCTCTTCACAGAAAGCTTTCTTACCTGGGCTTTTTCCCTGGGTGGAGATGGGAAGGGGGGGGAAGTACACAACAGCTGCTGATCACAGTATGTTTGTGCTGCTGGATGCTGTTGAGGTGTTTCAGTCTGAAGCACAGTACTGAGCTCGTAAAATGCAGTATAATGATGTGCAGGTGCCAGAATAGGTATGCATTAGTTTGGTGAATGTCTGTTAGGAGTGGTTGTGCTATATGTGCTTAGTTTGAGTGAAGGGGGGTTCAGGGCATTTTGGAAGGCAAAGATTCTTACGTGCTTCAATGGGACATTTATATCCTAAAGCCTATGTTGAAGGGAGAGAAGCAATGGCAATTAGCTTATTTATATGAAATAACAAGAGATTCTTCTGAGCCAAAGCAGGTCATAAAAATATGCTTCATAGGACATTCCTGCCAATTTATTAATAACTGACAGTAAACTGGGTGTAGGTCTCCTCAGGTTGCAACTATTGCAGAGTAAGTGATCTGACCAAAAAACTTGGTGTATTTCTTTATGCCTATTCACTTTACAATTTGTCCATATAGAACAGTTCTCGTGTTGAGCAATTCCCTTCCTTCCCCTGAGGCCATAATTCTATACTTTCAGAAATCCCTGTACAAAACACTGAAAACTGAATCTCTGGAAGGACTAGTAAGGGGGTCAGGCTTAGGTTAACGTTTAGCTGTTAATTTTCATTGTGTGAATGAGGCCTATTGTGTTCCTGTGTTCTGGAAAGCTGCTTCCACACGAGCTAGTACTGCCTGGGCAGCTCTCACTTTGTCCTTCCTTTTAAAGCTCCATTTCATCTCTTTCAGCATGGTGGCCTAGCACTGAATATCGGGTGTAAAGAAAGTCAAAGATTCTTACTTAAAAGCTTGATGTTTTGATTGGGTGAGAGACCAAGTGATTTTGCAGTGCTTTGTTCTGGGGTTCTGGAGCTCAGCAACTCCTGCAGTACCTGAATTTGGGAGCTGCAGACTCAATGGAAAGGAAGCCTTTTACCACTATCTGTGTAGCTGTGTGCACTTCGAAGGGAACTGCTAAAAACTAGACCTAAAGTGTCGTTTCCATCTCTGAATAAACAGAGCATGTGCCATCCTGAAGTCTCATATCCCACGGGGTTCAGGAATAAACACTGGTGGGAGTGCTGAGAGCTGTGTGTTGTGTCAGGACAAGGTCTGGCTGGGGATCTTGGGGCAGGGAGTGAGGATTGCTTACAAAAACACCTTGATAGGCACCCCTCTGTGTTTTTACAGTTTCCAGGCTTTCTTGGTGTCAACTTTGTCTTAGTTTCATCTTCTTGAAGCTTCTTATGTAGAAACATAGATTAGTTCTACTCTGACAGAGGTCAGTTTGGTTCTTCTGCCCAAGCACTGCTGTATCACAATTAGTTGCCTTGTGTATGGATCACTCTTCCCTCTGAATCCCCTATACACACACACACACGTATACGTCTATATAAATATATATATAGGTGCTTTACCTGTGCATCAGTTCTTGGTTCTTGCCTGGGAACATCACTGGAGTCACTGTTAGTGATAGTGTGATGCTTCCACTGTTGGACAGTTGAAATTCCCAGACAGTTTTTTTAGGTTTTTTTTTTTCCTAGTTGTAAAACCCTAGTTGGCACAGTGTGTCCACTAACGGCATTGCTGGCATGGGAGAAGCAGAACTGCTTGATAGGACCTGCATGACCAAAGCGTTTGAATTCCACAAGGCAGGGGCTTGTGTTTTTGTGGATTGAAGAAGCAGGATGGGGTGCTGGTACAGAGCTGGCTTCAAACAACACAGCTGGGTTTTTAAGCCTAGTCCTGGTTCTGACACCCTCCTCTTATAGCTCACAGGGCATCACTCATATTCAGCCCTAATTTCCAAATACCTCTGTATTGTTCTCCCTTGCTTCACAATATTTAAAAATGAGTATAACACTATAAAAAAATGCCCAAGCGGAAATTACCAATTCCCAGTTCCCACTGTTAACTTTTCCAGGTGGTATTGCTGGAAGGCATTATTTTCCAGCTACAATGTTTTGCAGGCTGCTTTTGCATGACATATTAGACTTTTTGTATCTGCATCTGCACGCAGCAGTCGAAAAAAAATTTAGCACTGACCCTTTGAAATACGTACCTTGTGCATCTGTCATAAGAAATACAGTGCATTGGCAAGCACCTTCCCCAAAGAAGCACATGGAGGAAATTAAGGGGTAGATAGTGAATTCCAGTAGGAAAAAAAAATCACACACAGGCTGCATGCGTCTTGCCTAATGGCTATTAACATTTCCTGTACCTGTAGTAATGACCTTAACCTGGTTTGCAGCAGTCACATACTGAGCTGCGTTCTTAAATCCTTGGTTCACTCGTGGGGCTGGGTAGTTTGTGCAGCACTCCTTTCATCTACTGATGGATGAATTATTCCTCTAGCAGATAGTCACCCCAGCCCTTCTGTGGGTGTAGGCAGGGGTGGTGCCCCCCTGCAAAAGGAAGCACTACCCTGACTAAGATAGTGAGACAGTCAGAAGCCTCACTCACGTGTCCTTTCTGGCAGAGCCATGGATGTGTTTATCAAAAACAGGGCTAGTTTGGTTCTTGTTCTGGCAGAGTTTCTTAATCGTACAAAAATGTACAGCAAGCAGGAACAGGCTGGGCCAGGCAGGCGAGTGCCTGAGCTGCACTGACTAATGCCCCCAGTTCAGTGAGCGTGGGAAGCGCTGCACCCATGGAAAAGGGCTGGACAATTTGCAGTGTGTGCAGTGTGTTAGGAAAGCAAAGCTAGGAAGAGACGTTTCAGGAGAAAGCTGATGCAGGTGGGAAATATCACGGTGAAGTGTAACTGATTAAAAACTCTGCAGATGTTTCAAGAGTGTGTCTGCAGCCGGCTGGTCCCTGCCAGGGCTCGCTGGCAGGGCTGGCTGTGGCCCAACAAGGGGGTTTGCCTCAGGCTGGGCTCTATGGGGAGTAGACGGCGGGGCAGCCCCCGAGTGTGCTTGGATGCTTTTTGTAACAGCATTTCCAAGCTGCCTGTTGGCTGCAGTTCACAAGTGCCTTTGTTGCAAGCGTCGCGGCGTGGGGCAGGTGGGTTTCAGCCTGGCCTTGCCGAGTGGCACTTGTGACAGCCCCGCGGGCTGCTGTGCCTCGGTTTCCCGTGGTGCTGGGATGTCAGGCTGGCATCTCGCCTCTGGAACAGCAGCGGTAGCAGCGTTCGGTCTTCAGTGATTTTCTAGCCTGTTGTTTTTTCCACGCTGCTGCCCAGGGTTGCTCAGAAAAGCTGTATAAATTGGCTGGTGAGCAGCGTGCTGCGGTAGTGGGAAGGTCCGAGCAGGCGAGGAACCAGCTTTGAAACCCGGGTTCGTTTTGCCATGTTTGAGGCTGTCGGGGGGGTAATCCTGAGCTTAAGGCGTCTCAGCGCTGGTTGGAGACCCCGAGGAGCGGCTGAGGCCGAAGGGGCAGAGCTGCGCTTCGAGGCTGCTCTTGCAGCCCGCAGCTCCTTCCCGAGGGGCAGGGGGGGTCTCGACGCCGGCTGC